GCTTGAATGATGACTAATGGGGCCTATACACCATCGGCTATTGGGCCCTATACACGATCGGCCATGATGGACGAATACTAGCGATCACGATCGTGCGGCGGGCATAATCGCCCATGATCGGTTATGATCGAGCGTAATCGCCGCTGTGTCGGTTTTTCAGACAATCATCAAAGGAAGTTCGGCCATGATCGTGCGGGCGTCTACATGATCGCCGATGCTCTATAAACTTACCTTGTTTTATTTCGGTGTATAGTTAACATCTACCTTTTTTACTTCCTTTTTTTCACCAATCTTTTAAGGTTTACTTTTAAATAATGGTTTTACATATAAACTAATTAGGTAAATAAATACCGGCAGCTGCAACTGTTTCAACGTCCATCTCGGACAGATGACAATACAAATATGTAGGATGCACAATCGTGTGGGCAGCCGCGCAATGATTGTGACAATCATGGCCCATTATGTGGTTGTCCATCATGGCCGATCGTGTATAGGGCCTATATGATTGACACAGAATGGGGCGCCGAAATGATTGTGACAAGCATTGTCACGCAATCGTGCATCCTACATTTTTATATTGTTATCTGTCCGAGATGGACATTGAAACAGTAGCAGCTGCCGCTATTTTAAATCGAAACATTTTAATTTTACTTTGCTGCAGAATTTCTTTATATTTTTAATGAAAATCCAAAGTATCATCTGGCAGCACCAGCGATATTACGTAGTGGCCATTATCACCTAACCTAACCCCGCCTATACACCATCGGCCATGATTGACAACCATAGAATGGGGCGTGATGGTCACAATCATTTTGCGGCTGCCCACACAATCGTGCATCCTACATTTTTGTATTGTCATCTCCATAAATAGGTACAGTAAACAAGAGAAACGTATATATACTTTTACCTATAATTAATTGTTCTAGGTTTGTCCTTGAGCATGCTTTCTAGGAGAAATTCCTTGTGTTTATAGTATTTTTAAACTTTAGGCACAAGTCCGCGTTCTAAGAGTGCCAGAGAATATTTCTGGCGTTGCTACAGTGTCTTTACAAGCAGTAGAAGATTCGACAGCAAGCGACGCATTGCGATACGCTGGGTTAGGGGCTGGTGGCCATCGCACAAGTGAAGCTAAAAAAGCCTTCAGAGAGGCTGTGCGTATTCTTGTTAAATTTGCATCCTTGAGAAACACTTGTTTATTACTCGACGAGGCTATTAAGTCCACTTTACGGTTAGTACATGCGTAAGCATCATATTAGTTTGTGGTTAGTACAATGATGAATTTTGATTTTCAAAGGTAAACTGTTATATTTGTATTAATGGACTATTCCCGAAATCTCCGTTGATGTTTCCAAATTACTAGGAATTCGGAAATCGGCAATAGTGTATTTAGTAATTAGTCCTGTAAACACATTTAGAATTCGTAATCTAGAGAAGCCAGATTTTACTCGCATTTGTAGTACCGAGTATGACTCTGTAAACTGCATCAATACATTTTAATCTGTGTATAAATAAAGTTTTTGTTATTATCTTAATCTAATTCCAGCAAAGTTAACGGCATAGAGAAAGTTATCATGCCAAAGTTACGTAATACTGAAAATTACATCGTGATGGAAATGGGAGAGCAGGTAAGTAGTGTGTTCAAATAATTTTGTTTTCCCAATCAATAATGTGACACCGTTTTTTCCCCACTTAGGAAAGAGAAGAGTTCCATCGCTTGAAAATGGTAAAAGCAAAAAAGAATCGTAAAAAAAGCATGCTTAACGTGAAACGAAATCCTTATGGCGATCCCGATTCATCTTGTGGTATATTTTCTAACAAATTATTATATTTTTATGAAAAGGGGGTAAATGAGCTCACAAGTCACTTGATGGCAAGTGATCACTGCCTCATAAATTTCCGCAACAATAGAGGAATTGCAGATGCGTAGCCGGTTTTTAAGAGGTCTCTAGAAGGTCTGGTTCGGAAAAATCAATGACGAATCCTGGAGATACGCACGATAGTGGATTCTCAAAAATGGAGATGATGAGGGTTAAATTTAATGCCCAGTCGCAGTGTGCTATGGTGCAACTTAGCAGCTGGGATTTATCCGAAAAGGCCAGTGGATCGGGCAGAACTCGCTCGTTCAAGATTCGTGCTGTCATTGTAACATTGCTGTTAAATTGGTTTCGTTCGAACAATATATAATTCCCATATATGTATGTACAAGGTAATCTTTTATAATTTATAACTTCTTATTCGCAAACAATATTATGCATATTGTCTGCCACTACATCATCACCAGCTCGCTACAGTCCATTAATGGACAAATGCTACTTCTTCCACGTCCACTACACAAAGGTTTTACCGTAATCCTTACCTAGCTTATGAGATCCTTCAGGCATTTCGCATAGTCGCCACTTTCATCACTCTTTTTGAATGCTTCCGTGATAGGAAGAAAGAGGTAGAAGGAATGAATGATGAAAGAGTGACAAAACAAATATATGCTGCAGAAGTGAGTGGCTAATTCGGCAAAGGTTGTCCTAGACGAAAGTTTATCGACCAAATTGATGATATATTGAGGATTGGCCAAATTAAGAGTATCCTTAATACTTTAACTGTAGATAAGTATATGGATGTGAAAGAAGCGAGATAGTTGTATCAGGAATAGGGGGGTATTTATGGTATAAACTCTAACACAATAAATACGATAATCTAAGTACTAAATTAAGGGTCATTATCGTGCACATGCAAATACGAGTAGTATTTCTTCATCAACCTGTAAAAGTCCACTGTACATGGGCTTCTTCCGCTATGGAGAAGATTTGTCGTCAGACTTGACATAGAGATAGACGATCACAGTACGAATCGTTTAGAACTGTGAGATCTCAAGTAATTTTTGTGATTATGTTATCTAGTTCATTATACCGTTATAGCTAATATTGATTTATATTAATTACAAATTTTAATTTTATTCATACGCTCTAAATCACTGATTCCCATCCAGTGATCCCCAAGGTCTTAAATATGGCCTGCGAAAGATTTAAATATTTTACCTGCCTAATCCTTTTAAATAACACGTTTATTTTTTTTCGTCACGCGGGCAGTGTAACACTGCATGTCACGTTAGTAAGTACCTACTAGTTTTTACAATAAATACACTAATTATATTGTTAATAGATGCTTATTTTCGGTTTACTATATAATTACCTGTTCCCCGCAACTTCGCCCGTGCGTAATTTATTACGATTGGATTTCATGGGTTTTAATTTTTTGCGCGGAACCCCAATTCCTTTTCTAAAATAAAAGTAGCCTAAGTTACTTCTTATAACATCAGCTATCTGCCAGTGAAAGATCAAAATCGGTCCAGCCGTTTCGGAGATTAGCCGGAACAAGCAGACAGACAGACAGAAAGACATACAGATAAATGTTTTAAAAATCGTGTTTTTGTTATAAGTACCGTATATACTTTCATGCTACATTGAGTTATAATGGTACATTAGATAGATAGATAGAGTTAGATAGAGTACATTATAACTCAATAGGCATATAGTAAAAAGCTGTTATTTCGACATTACAAACAGACACTTCAATTTTATTTATTTGTATAGATTATGTTAAAAGCTGTGATTATAATTTATTTTTATATTTTGATCACAACTTGTTCTTTGGTCCCTTCACCTTGTGGTCCCTGCTAACAACAAATAAATCAATGTGGTCCCTGGTTAAAAAAAGGTTGCGAAACCCTGCTCTAAATAGTCGAGTTGTTTGTGCTCGCCGCTTGCGGGCCAATGTAGTTCAGGAACGCTGCCCTATAATATTTGATAGGTTGTTTTGTGAGTGATGAGCGATGAGCCGGAGTCCTGGCACTGTTAATGGATTTCCCATACCATCGCGCACACAACTGGTAAAGGAGACTGCGCTTAATAATTTAAATACCCTTAGATTATCAGATTTAGATTATTTAGAAGACAAAATAGGTTATATGATCATTGTTTTTTTGCCATAATATGATACAGTAAATGACCCTCCATCCACTTAAAAGCATTGTTTCATATTAAAAAGACATTGTATATAGTGATAAAAATCAACTATCCATTATGGATTTTCTCAATTTGCTCTTGGCAAAAGTATTTCTGAATCCATCAATAGAACTAAAGCAATGAATTCTAGTGGATGAAGGGTATTTTTTTTTTAATTTAAAATTTGTAAATATTTCGCCCTTACAGGAATCTCTAACAATAACTCTTCGATGAGTATAGATTGTTTGACCAGTATTATGTGCCCAAACCCGGAACCTCTTTCTTCTACCACAGACTCGGCGGGAGACGGCAACCTTGTATGCTACCCTCATTATTGGGATGACGACGACTTATTATTTTAAATTTCGTCGTGCTGTTTTTTACAAAGATAATCGTCGCGTTGTTTAATACATGTTTTACTGATTTTACAGATAATTTGTTTGAATTACTATTTTTATTTTTGAACCCATTTGGAAAGTAAGTGGCCATAACATCTAGAAAGGGAATATCGGTCACTATCGGTTAATTCGAGCTTCGTAGTACATTGTCATTGACTGTGTGAACTTATTGTTTTTTTTTTATAACTCCATAAAGACTACCCCGCCTTAGTAAAGAAAATACAATTTCAACTCAAACTTATAATGTCCGATTCTCTCTTTCTAGAGTTCAATGTGTGTGGAATTATAGGAACACCTAAGATGACTTAGGCCAGATTTTTTTATTCTCATATAAAATTTAAACATAATATATAAAATATTTAAAATTGCAGTGGCTTAAAGAAAATAGTCCCTCTTCAGATTACAATTTATATGGATAACCATTTAATTATCTGAGTATTCAAAAATCGGCTTCTAGATGTATAAACAGAATCTGTAGTAGCTAAGTTTCTGTAATAAAAGATTTTATGCGTTGTACTATTTATTTTACATAAATACGAAAAACTTCCAAGAACAGGTGTAAAAGGTTCAACAATACTTAGTTGCTTTTTAGGTTTTATACGTCTTACAAAACCCAGCCATCGTCCAAACGTTCTTCCATGGGCTTAGTAAAGTATTGACACCTTCTAAATTTTTCCAATATTTCACCCTATGAACCAAAATTATTAATCGCTTAGTAACAACCAACATTTTTACAAATAATCTAAGTTTGTTACACTATTACTTACGGGACCGATCTTTTTAATCGTTTCACTGTAAAAAGTGACCGCACTGGAACCCGTTCCATACAATGGATATTTTAAGTGCATCTGTCGAAAAAAATTCATTCTATATCTGTTCTAAACCAATTAAAAACTATACCAAGCAGATAGTGTTTTATATTCAAAGGCATTTTTTTTTATATTTGAATATAAAACACTATCTGCGGATATTGAAAAGTAAAGAATCCGTGTTACTAATTCTTTGTGTCCGCTTAAGGCAACACAGGGTTCAACTCAATCGTAACAACAACAGCTAATAGACATAGTATTTTATTTACACTGTTTATACCAATCGATTCTCAGACTCAAATATGCTAATGTGATTTATTTTAAGTAAGCAAATAAAAAATTACGCTTACATTTTTATCGGCAGTCACCTCTAAGCTGCGTGGTTCAAACTGATCTTTCACATAATGCGTATCGTATTCGGTGCAAAATTCACTTGTAGGTTGCGAGGTAGCTAATTCCTCAATAACCTCATCTAGCATTTGCTCCCAAAAAAAATTTGTCAGCATTCGTTTTCGTATACCTATAAAACCAACAAAAATATCATTTACTTAGTACATTGTCCACCGATTGGCATTGGAGCAGCTCGGCAAACTCTTCCCTGCTCTAAAACACTCAATACACAAAATATAGGAGCTGTGTGCACAGCTATGGGACGTATAATAGTAGTTATTTTACGTATGTCTTATTTATTGCCACTGAAATTATATAATTGTTTTTTAAATCCTTAAATTTTTGATTCAAACTTGTAATCATGCTCTTTATATTTTTTGGAGTAGAACACAGCAATGTAGGGGAGAGGCATACAAAATGACATACTAGTTATAAAATCAGTAATCAAATCTATATTTATTAATAATAGTGAACATTTTAAGTAACTATGTATTCTTTGGTTCATTACCTATTAAAATTATAGAGATCAATCAACTTAGTGCAAAAACAATAGAATTATTAATATTTTTTTCAAACTTGAACAAAAACCGTTATGTCCACCCTAGGCGGGTAAAATGACACACGTGGTGTGGACAAAATGGCATACCAAATTTTTTATGAAAATCAGTCGATTACATGCAGAGTTCACACGTAAAACGTTTTGTATTTTTCGGAACATCTGCACATGATGCATGAGCCCATCTTTTACAGCTCAAGCACTTTAGCCACACCTTTTTTGGCTTGGACTTGGAGTAGAGGTCATTGCAATAAATGCAAGGACAATCTTCATCATGATCTCCGGCTTCTGTACAAGTGTGAGCTTGTAAGGAAGAGAAATCATTTTCACTGTCGGAACTAAAATCCAGAGCTTTTGTAACCTGTCTCGTGTTTTTCTTTGGAACAGGTGGCGGAGCTGATTTTGCTTTTGCCTCTTCTATATTTGGCGTTGAAGTTAACACCAATACTGTTGGTTTCTTGCGTGGTTTTCTTTTACCTTGTCCAGCCACATAAATTCCTTTTGGCACTGGAGATATTTCTTGGAGTATCAATTTAGATGATGTGAGTGTCGTAGGTATTGCAGTAGCTGTGTCTCTAGATTGGACCACTGAGAGTGGACGTGGGTTGTCTGCGGCTGATGTGCTTGCAATTATTAGTGATGTCGAACTCCCTGCTTCTACCTGAGATGGACCTGCTGAGGGTATGCATAAGTTTTCTGCTGCCGTTGAATCTTCTTCGGGCTCTACCCGATCTTGTTGCATGGGAATGTTTGTCGTCTCAGCAGGCTCAAACAAATAATCTGGAAATATGTATGGATCAACAGGCCAGAGACCAGTTTTTTGAAATCCATTGACGGCAGTTTGAACCGTTGCTGCTTTGCCATAAGCTTTGTTGAGTATTGCGCCTATTTGAAAGTGAGTAACAACTCTACCTGGATGGCTCTTTAACCAAGTGCTCACTTCTTGATTAAAATAAGTCTTCAATGGACCATAGAAAGATACGTCTAATGGTTGCATGCGGTGCGTGCAGTGAGGTGGCAAGCACACCATAATGATTCCATGCTCTTTTGCGAATGTTAAGCTTTCAATACCTTTATGACTGATATGTCCATCAACTATTAAAAGCACTTTGTCATCAAGACTCGCTTTTACATGCAACTGAAAGTGCACCAACCATTTATAAAATACAGCTGTTGTCATCCAACCTGATTCCTGCGCAATACCCATAGTACCGGTAGGAGCTTCGTCTATCAACTCCTGTTTCATATTTTTTCTAGGATAAATTAAACACGGCGGGATAAAATGGCCATTTGCACTCATGCAACAAACAATTGTCACATGAGACCCCTTTTCAGCACTAGTCAAAGCCCCAACCTGCTTACGCCCAGTAGTAGCAAAGACCTTTTGGGGTCTCTGGACTGTTGATAATGCTGACTCATCGACGTTGTAGAGCCTATGAGGAGAAATGTTGTTCCTCTGAATAATGTCTTGGTAAGTGTTGAAAAACAGTGCTACTTGGGGCTTGTTGAAGGCTTGGGCTCTTGCAGCTGAAGTCGCTTCAGGTTTCCTCAAGGATATGTCCGGGTGTCTGCGTCGAAATCCAGCCAACCATTCTTTGCCTGCCATCTTTTTTCATTGTTGAAGTTATGAGGAATATTATTAACGTCTGCAAACCGGTACGCCAATTCCAAAACTTCCTTTCTTGTGAATCCAAACAATCTCGTTTCTAGTAATTTAATATGTTCTACCAGTTCTCGTTCCATTTCATACGTGAAGACACTCCTGTACCTACCCATACCTAAAACAAAGGTACGTGTTTAAATCCGCTCTAATCATGCGAACAAAACGCGAAAATAAAAAAATACTAAGTAGGTACCTTTTGTAGTTGGAGCTAAGACTTTATTTTGTTTCAGTGCATGTCTTCTAAGAGTCGATTGTGGGACGTTAAACACTTTAGAAGCCAATAGCCAGCCCATTTCATTATTCTTTACAGCTTCAATAGCCTTTTCCATGGAGGTTTTATCCCAATCCTGTCGGTCTGTTTTTCTAGAATAGTTGCGTGGCATGATGTACAATTATCTGGAAAAAAGAAAAAAAGGGTGGGTCATATGACATAGTATGCTATTTTACCCGAACAAGGTGTATGCCATTTTGTCCACTTCATAACCTTTAACATTAGAAAACAATAACTAAAAATTTAACTAGAATTTTGAGTTTCCAAAACATTCTCGAAGTCATTTAGTAAAATTACAATAAATAAATGCTAAATAAAAACAAATTAAAGTAAAAACCACTTACTTGTACGAGAAACAAAATCCACCTGCTTATAACTCGTGACTGCAAAAATTAAACAAACAAGTGTCCGCACCACACGGCCCAACGAACGCGACTGGTGCTGCCACAGGTTGCGACCTGTTACTAAGCGATCCTTTACAAGCCATTGTGAGAACTAATAAGTCTGTGGTTTCGGAGAAAAGTAGGTATGTCATTTGACCCACCTATGTCATTTTGTACGCCTCTCCCCTAGGCGCTTGATGACAAATAGTCACCGGTGGATTCACCTAAACGAAAAAGTTAGCAACTACTTATGGACCCAATGTAGTTTGAGGGTCTCGCGGTCTTAGATAAAAGCATATTAACGTGATATAGGCATTTCAAAAACTGGAGAAGTGCCGGGTGCCCGACACACGCAAGGCCACTGCTGGGTCTCTTCCATTGTCTTTTATGGAGGACTTTCTTTAATCGCCATCTGGCGTAAGCGGGATAATTGTACAGTATCTAAAGGATTTTCCAAAGTCGCTGTCATACAATTACCTAATTAGTTCATCATTCGTTACAGCCTTTTAAAAGTCCACTGCTGAACATAGACCTCCCTCATAGATTGCCTCTCAGGGGGAATTTTGCCATAACAGATGTATTAACCCCCTGTCACCTTTTACAACATCCACGGTATGGTATGGTAGATATGGGCATAGGAGTAAAAGTATTCTGTGGATATGGGGCTCCAGATCTGAGAATTTTTTCCAGGTAGATTTATTCATTCATTTATTAGAACCTCTTCCTCAATTGTTGGGTCATCAAATATATCAAAAATATCTATTTCGTGTTGTGTTAATAAACGCAAAATCAAGAAATATCTTAAAAATTAAAATGTTATCCAATCACCACACCAAATAACCAGTTATTTTACAAATACCTTCAAGGCTGCCGAGGCGTCGAGAACAGAAGTCCTCTCTGACGTATACGCAAATTCCAGCCCGAGGCACAACGGAGTGTTCCAATTTGTAGATAGCGTGGCAGGGGTCGCCTTGGTCTTGTTGCTCAGTTTGCCCCGAGCAAATTCTTTTTGTTTTAATTTTTTGAGCGGAATTTTGCCCCCCCCCCCCCCCCCAGAATACGCGGGGCAGCCTGAGCGCCCACGCTCAGGAGTGGAGTAGCATGGTCGTGGATCCGATAGCTCAGCTTGAGATAAAAACAACTGGTTATCTGGTCGTTGGAGAGACCGATACATTTATTCATTAGGGCCAATTTTTCAATACCCCCCAGATTAAGGAACAAATAGCATTTATTCGACAGTTGACAAATAAATGAATACTTCAACCGACAGATGAGATTGATGGAGTGACGAACAAAGACACTTACGAAATCAGCGTGGGAAAAACAGAGAACTCTTTAATTCACGTGGAATTACAACAAATGTCCTTTAATGCAGAATTTAAAAAGTGAAAATTAAAATAATTTCTATGTGCAAAGACAGAATGTGTTGTTTTGTACAGGAGGGAGACCTTAAAATGTTTCCGATTTCTTCCCCATTCTTTTTTTATTAAAATATTCATAATAACAACAGTTTTATTTTACAATAAATGCGAACTCAATGAATATCATGTAAATGTACAAAGTGTTATGAATCTTCTGACTGACTTGAAATATATCTATTATAGGTATCAAAATGAAACTATATATCAAATAAGCGGTAATCTGGACATCTAAGGGACAGTTATGGTTTCCCTATATATAATGTACTCTGTGGTTATGGTTATACTATGGTAGAGCCATGCTGCAGTTATATTATTAGTATACTTGTAGCACGAATGGGTCGGCTCGACCGGAGAAGGACCACGCTCTCACAGAATACCAGCGTAAAATAGCAGCTTAATGCTGCTGTGTTTCGTATATTGAGTGTAGAGAACCGGAGACCCATTTTACTGGAATAGAGGCATTCCATCTTAGTCCTCACGGGTAACAACGCATCTGTAATTTGATTCTTTATTGAGGATAGATGTAGATGTCTATGAGTCACGGCAACTACTTACCATCAGGTGGACTGTGTGCTCGTTTGTCACCATATCCTATAAAAAACCTCCAGTAGTCAAGATATTCGTCAAATAAAGCGTCGATTGGAACATTCATTTATTTGCTATCTATCTGTCGAATAAACGCCATCTGTTTGTTTAGCCTAAACAATGTTTAGGCTTTAGGTATCTAGGGATTGAAAAGTCGACCCTTATTATGTGTGTATTATATATTCTTACAACTGACCTTCTAGTTTCATTATTTTTTATTTATGTCATAATAAATATTTATGTCATAAAAATAGGGCAAATATTTTATTATATTAATTATAAGCAACCTCATTAAATTATTGCAATATTTTTAAGTAGGTATGAAATATTATTAGGTTATAGAAAATCTATATCGATCACTACCATCTAATTATATTAATCCAATATAATATTAAAATGTGTGAAAATCATACTGTGAATAATACCTCTACATACATAATACTCTAATTGCTTTACAACCGGCAATTAATAAAACATTTTATTTTACGTAATATAGCCAAGCTGCCACGTGAATGGGTCAGCTCAAAGCTCAAACGTGAATTAAACACCATAATGTTGCTTGTTTTCATACAAATGAAAATGCGTTGCGTGCACTCAAGTGCGGACCATTGTAAGAAAACAAATCTGGTGGCAACCCCTAAGTATCTACGAAAAATTCGGCTCAAACGGGAAACGACTACGTTTGCACAAAATAGCAGCGTAATAGGGAGCACAAGGCCGTTGAAGTTCGTGTGGTGAAATGACGAGAAACGAAAACATTTTTACTATAATATTATAGTAACAAATATTCGTCATAGGCATAGGTCTATAGTTTATAGGCGAGTGTAGTTATTATATGCTCTCTGATTTGAATATCTGGATTGTTGGAACATGAAGGATGTGGTTAATGATAAAGCGTCCTTTTAACATACATATTACCTTCACCGAAGTTTGGTTTCTTAGGTATTTGATAACAGTCGCGCATTTCACTGCCTTGCATGTAAATTTTACGACCATCTTGAAGTATCCAAGGGCGGCTATAATTTTTACCCTTTCCATAAGCTGAAGGTTCTATTGGTGCTTTTGGATAAAGTTTTACCTTCTCTAGAGGTCTTATTTTCTCTTGTGTTTCTTCGAAGTTATTGTCCGGAAAATCTGCCTGTATTTCTTTACTGTTTTCTGCATTATTCATTTTTCTGTACGTAAAATATCAAACAAATTACAAATTATTAAATTGACATTAGGCAATATTTCTTCAGTTGCTATGGTTGCTATTAAAACGTAGTAATTATATACTCTTTGGTTGCTATAGGTAAAATCGATTTCTTCGTAAATATTTTGCACAGAGCAACACGGGCCACCGGCGAACCGGAGAGGAGACTAAAATATAAAGAAAATAGTACTAAATATTATTCGAGCGAACAAGTGAATTGTTTTCGAATTCCTGTGATGATGATTATTATATTACATTGTATTCGTGTCGATAAAACAACTAATAATAAGTTTGAATAGGTACTAAGTCTTGACAGTGTCACGGTACAATACGAGTTGGTTCCCGTTTGTAATCCCAATTTTATATGCTGGTTTACCACTTCCTCAGCGGAAAGTAAACCATCACAAAAACTATATCTGCTTGGATGATAGTTTTTCGTAATCACGAAGTCAAGGCAGAATCTTGATAGTGCCATGTAGCGGCGGCTTAAAAGAATCCACTACCTCATACTTAGAAGCTCTAAGACTCCATACCATCTCGTGAGTATCGTAAAAGGCGATAGAGAGAAATGAAAGAGTAGATAGGTGGTAGTAACTTCCTGATAACAACTCGAAATTATAAAATATTACGGTTACCAACCCACTTGGTAAGAGAGGGATCTATGGCAAATATTCTCTCTATGAGGCAGTCTATGAATAAAGTCTATGTTAAGCAGTGAACTATTGATAGACTGTAATTAATGAATACATGATAGATAATATTATCTTGAGGGAGGAAAACATGTGATACGTTGGTAATTGATTTATCTAGTTGTGGACCATAACTTGTGGTGAAGCGAGCAAAAAGGAGACAAACCGCGTTCTCAAGTAGTTTCGAATCACTAAATAGCACTCGTGACATCGTAATAGGTAGAAAAAATGTGAGAAATGTGATTGCGATACATGTTCTCACACCTTTCTAATATGTAAAATGAATTGACTTAGAAATAAAAATGGTTTTGGCGGGAACTTGACCTTCGGTGGATCGTTGCTCCTGTTTTACCGATTATTTAATGATTTGAAGTGGGTTTTGATACACTAATGTGATGCGAGTTTGTGTATTATGTATCTGCCCATGTGAACTATTAGTGGAAACGACGAAACAAGTGCTCCGATTTTGATATAAACCTCAAGTTATTTTGTTCGCTCAGGCGCCATATGAACTTGATAAAGTCATCATTGACGTTGGGTTTAACTGTCGTTAAAATCTCCCAAGAACCTTTCGATGTGACGCATCGGCATATTATAAAGAAGATTTTTAATTCCCGAATGAAATGAAATGATATATGGCTTAAAAGACAAGCATCGACGCCAAAAATCTTAAAATAATAGAAATAAAAATGAAAAAGTGAAGAAGTCAAACAGATGTTATTTGTCATTGTCAAAAATTGAAAATGGCCGAAGCTTGTCAGATAGCTAGGAAACAAGATTTGCCTCCTCCGGGAGGCTACAAACCAATTCCTTTTAAAAGAGTGCCTGCTAAAACATACTTTAGCGGTGAGTATTATAAGAGTTTTATTTATTGTACGTTTTCCATCATATTATGTAATCCGTTTTTTAGGTTATGTTATTGAAATTTTATGGTAGGAAATTTTAAACTGTAACATTAACATACATAACATACAAGTTACTTTTATTTTCTAGAATAAAGCATTTTGTAAGAATGTCAAATTTTTAAGGTTACACTCTCTTCGCTGGTTACATTGGTGTGACTATTGGGGCAATTTACTTGTATAACTTAACGTTAAAAAAGGTGAAAAAACATGAAATTGAAATGCGATCTGCGAAAATGGCCATTTATCCTATGTTGCTGGCGGAAAGAGACAGGGAATATCTGAAACAACTTAGAAGAAACCGCGACGCGGAGGCTGAACTGATGCGTGATGTGCCTGGCTGGGAGGTATACAGCATAATTTTTAAATTATCCCTACTAATATTGTTTGTTGGTTAATCTTTCTTTCACGCAGCATACTAGCAGGCTACTAATCGATATATAGATAGTTTGTGAGCTAAAACAGTTTCATCCCTAAAAAATACATGCTTCTTGTGGGATGGATCTGAAGTATAGCTCTGTAATTAACTCCTTAATATGTTGTCTTAGTTGTTAGACTAACACATTGGCTAAGATTTTTTTAATGATGTTATTTTTCATCTTACTCACAGGTGGCTAATATAAAGAAATGCCTTCATGCTGTAACCAAAATTGAGAACAAAATTTTTAGCCCAAACTATCTTATATCTTTATAAATTACTAGTCTTACACGAGCTACACATAGGTATCTCCAAGTGTGCACCAGCCTTTTTTTTACATCATACTGAGCAGTCATGTTGAGTGCAGTCAACAATCTTGCATTAATAATGCTGTTCCCCAACACCCGTTAATGAAATTCAGGATCAGCATTTTTAGATAAATTTTTTGTCATCAGTAAATTCACAAGCTTGAACTGGATGCATCACTTGCAAGTGCTGTTTTAAGATATAATAGGAAAAATTCTTATTTGAATTCTTGATATTTTACTTATCACTTCCTTAAGGCAGGGTTTATAATAATTGAAAGAATTAAACCTTTTTGAGAAATATTTAGTTTGAATTTTAATAAAAAATACCACTTTCTTTTTAAATTTCAGGTTGGAACTTACTATGGTGAGCGTATATACAAGCTGGTGCCTCCTGATGCACTTGTAGAACCAATCTTCCATGAATACTATGCTCACTCATCTCCTACTGAGTGGTTTAAGAGGGCATACATCAAGCTACGCTCTTAAACATAAAATATGGCCTGTTATTCAATTAATATTTTTTGTTGAAATTTGCAAAATATGGAATTTACTATTCTAAACAAATAATTGCCTTATGGTGTAACTATATAACCACAGCATTGGATAACAGGTCGGAAGTGTGCTACAGATAGTTTGCAGTGAACATAATTTACGTAGTTGCTTTGAATAAATAATAATTAAATTTATGTTACATAAGTACTGATGTATTATTATCAAATTTTTGAACCATATTAAATAATTAAATTCCAAATATCAATGCTACATACTGTGATTTTCAATCTTTCTGCCAAGCATGACAAAGCAAATTGTTTCTACAATGGGAAAGGCCCATCCAGCAGTGGACTTTTACAAGCTGATGAAAAAGAAGATTACAATTATTCTAAGTCTAAATGTTTGTTTCTTAAACATGGCAAACCTGTACACATTAATAGTGCCTTACAGTTTCCTCCCGTCTCTATTTCGTAATCTGAAACATCAAATTCTTATTGTAAAACATTGAAATATGTTAATGAAGGTGGTTGACACGGCGTCAACTCTGAATAGTTTCAATTGCAGAATGAATAATATTATAGTGCCAAAAGGTAATTTTTTAAACAATAAGAATGCAATGTGCTGATATTAAAAAACAATTTTATAAAAATTATTATCAGATTATCACTAGTTTAAACTAGAAACCAGATTAGGGAAGAGTGGTAATTAATATTTTGCTGGTTCCTTTTTAATCACAGATGAAAGTTATTCATCAGTATAGTGTTAATATCAGTGGCCATGAATCAGCAAAGATGCCGAAACATAAATGGCAGTACTCTAATGGGGCCTATACACCATCGGACATGATGGACAAATACTAGCGATCACGATCGTGTGGGGGGGCATGATCGCCTATAATTGCCCATGATTGGTGATGATCGAGCGTAATGACCGCTGTGTCGGCTTTTTGGACAATGATCAAAGGAAGTTCGGCCATGATCGTGCGCGCGTCTACATGATCGCTGATGCTCTATAAACTTACCATGTTTTATTTTGGTGTATAATTAACATCCACCTTTTTTTCACCACTCTATAGGTGTACATTTAAATAATGATTATACATATAAATTAATTAGGTAAATAAATACCAGCAGCTGCAACTGTTTCAACGTCCATCTCGGACAGATGACAATACAAAAATGTAGGATGCACAATCGTGTGGGCAACCGCGCAATGATTGTGACAATCATGATCCATTCTGTGGTTGTCAATCATGGCCGATGGTGTAAAGACGGTGTAATGGGGCCTATACACTATCGCCCATGATGGACGAATACTAGCGATCACGCTCGTGTAGAGGGCATAATCGCCTAAAACTGCCCATTATCGGTAGTGATCGAGCGTAATGGCCGCTGTGTCGGGTTTTTGGACAAACATCAAAGGAAGTTCGGCCAAGATAGAGTATATATACAGTAATCTATGACTCAGTTCTTATTTGTTTACGGTAGAGTGAGGACGGTGCTATTTTGTCATAGTTTCTTTTTACGTCATTAGTTTAGGTACTATAAAATGTCGGAGACGAAGTGGACTAATGAATAAATTCATCGAATTGTACCAAAATGAACCCGCAATATGGAATCCTAACTAATATTATAAATGCGAATGTGAGTTTGTTACTCGTTGTCATGAAGTTTTGTCGTCAGTCGTTGTCAGGATACAGGCAAACGTCCCATTCTGTGGCTGTCAGTCATGGCGGATGGTGTATAGGCCCCATAACAACGATTTCACGTCGTGGACATTTAACGGGTGACACGCCAGGTGTGCCATCGATTACTTTTGTGTGGCGTATGACACGCGAGTCGTGTCTTTAAAAATCGTTATAACTCGCTCAAATTGTTTTTTTTGGAAAATTTATCCAGAACAAAATATTAATTATTTTGCGAGTAGTTCATGCATGCAGCTTCGTTTCTGGATATTTTGAAAATTTGAAATTTTTAGGGGTTGACAACCTTTTTTTAACGTGTACATGGTACTATTTTCACTTTGTGGGTTTTAAATCATGTTATGGTAAAATTGTCCAATAAGTAACAAATAATAGCACTCATTGCGATCGCTCACAAACTCAAGTTGTAAATAAATTTCTGGAAAACAAGTCTCCTGTTAAAAAAAACAATGCATTTGTCTTATTGTTTAATTTTGCTTAAAATGGTTGAACTGCCGTCTTATTACTATCATATGGCCGAATAGACCTACGAATTACCATGTGCTCTTGTGATATGGTATAAGATTTATTTATGCTTGAAACAGTTCGAAACCGTTCATGCATAAAAAAAGTTCGCTAATAAATAGTCTTGTCAATCCGCCGCCGTATAGCGCCTGCGTTTATTTCCTTTTGAAAACACTTGTTTTGCTATTCTTACTAATTAGACGTTTTCAGATCGACTTTACTTTTACATTTGTATAACATTAAATAATATTTAACATTTGTAAATATCAATGAATGATATACCTTTTTTTTTCAAATTAAGGTTCTTCATTGTTTGATATTTACAAATATTATTATTAGGTGAAAATTTAATTTAATAAAAACCAAGGTTTCCAGGGTGATTTAGCTGTACCTACTTATATAAATGATTTTTATATAACAACAAAAAATAGTACAAAAGGTTTGTAATCTCTTCATAAAAAAAGTCACTTTCTCTCAATTTCAAAGAAAACGCGTAAAAAAACACGGAGTTACCTACTAAAAACAAGTATCCTTCCATTTGTAACTTATGTTTGATGTCAAATTAACTTAATTAGGTCTAAACAAGTAAAAAAGCATAAAAATAACATTACACAATAGGCGAGTCATTATTGTCTGTGGCGCTTAACACGCCCGGCGTGTCATGAAATATTTGTTCGCCGCCACAGCTAAAAGTTGTCGAAAATTGGTGCCGCAACGAATCGGTTAATTGTATTTAGCAGTAATTTGTTAATCTTAGTCGAGTAAAAGCGGTATCCATCTTAATCCTCTTTAAACCTACTGCTACCTATAACGTCGTTCGTTATCCGTATTCGTTAATAGGCACAGTAGTGATACTTCGCGCTGGGAATGCTGCTGCCCAATATTCTAGATATTTCGTTGTTTGTCGGTCACTGTAGCCACATTTGTTAGCAAAGCGTTTCGCGTATCGATATGATTGGAACTAGAAGTTGTAGATAGCTTGCTCATTTATAAACTTTACAAGTTATTACTTTTCTGTCTTGGGGTACTAGTAGGTGTTGATTATTTCTGCCTCTAAGCAGTTGTGCTACGATCAGTGGCGTAGCTATGTAACAAAAGGCCCCGGGGCAAGAATGTAATTGGAGCCCTATTTAAACTAAAGCAAATACTTTAAAGGTGCAAAACTACTTCATCATTAACTCCTCCCCACTGCAGGGCATAATAAAGCAAAGCTACTTACTACTAGGTATTATGTGTAACGCATAATCAATGACTAAGTGGATTACAGTTAATAATATAGGCAGTCAACATAACAGTGGAAGAGCCACACGGCAACTTTTGCTGCTGCACGGGTGGGCTAAACTAGATGGAATGACGATCTGGTAAGACATGAAATGAAGAGCTGTAATGAATGGGTGGACCGGCTCAAACCGAGGAGATACCACGGCCTTACAGATAACCAGCGTGAAGTAGAAGTTTACTTCGCCTGGGAGGGTACTAGCACCTCTGGTATTGGAGAACCCCTGGCTGAGCATCCCCGCCCAAGCTACCCTACGAAATTCCGCTCAAGACTAATACTGCTCGTGGCAAGTAGAGCGATAAGATAAAGGTGACCTCTGCCACGCTATCCGTCAATTTCTGCAACATCAGGGGATTTCGTTCGAACGTTAACGAAGTCCACTAGGTACCATCTGAAGACGGCGAAGAGACCTTGCTCTTTCTAACCGATACGCAGGTACTTTCCTCATAAGATTTATTATATTAACATATGTTACAGATCTTTTTTTCATTGGAACAAGATCTAATTCGTAAGCGAACGCTTTGTTTCGGTGGTCAGTTGGTTCCCCGTTTTCAAAATTCAAAATCGGGTAATTGTGATACGTCACATTTATACTCATTGGAATCGAAAATGTTGCGTTTATATAAATTTGCATCCTGAATGTCCTGTGACGATACCTGTCTCTTTATATTGTCTAGATGTGACTTTTTTCGCATCAACATTATCAAGATGATAATGTTGATCATCACATGGCTTCCTTTTTAGCGAACCAAATTGTCTTACACCGTTACTCAATAAACTCGGTGACGATGGTCGAGCCTCAACTTCCAAGACCACCAAGAGAAAGTTATTATTAATTATTAAGCGAAACAAATTACGATGCACTATTTCTAGTGCATCGTAATTTGTATGTAAATTAAAACCCCTCTCTTTCTCTCAACGACTAATTAAAAACACTACTTATTATACTTAATACATTTAAAATAGTAGACTAAATACTATTATTAAAAGTATTTTAAACTTTAAAAAATCTGAAAAAAGGTTTGCAATCCCTGGTCATATTTCAATATAATATCAATAAAAATATTAATATAAAAACCAATTTCGTTATTCGAAGTGTAATTAGAAATCTTTCTATAATGTGGAAAATATGCCTTACTATACTGAATAGAATAGAAACAAATTCACTCAATATTTCTAGCCATATTTATGGTAAATAGGAAATCGCTAGTATTTTTAATAAAAATTCACTGTTTTAATCACAAAATAACTTATTATATACAAATGTAACTTGGCCACTGAATACGCAGTCACTTGATATGGCGTAAACTGATAAGCGTCAATAAAATTCTGTCTAAACAAGCAAGAATCATTTTAATGTACGGGAAACGCCGATCAGTGTCAAAGTGTTTAAATATGAGATGCGTCCGACGCCTATCGGAGTTAGCTCTTTAAACCGCCCGCCCCTGCGTAATAAAGACGATTTTTCGAGCCGCATTGAATGGGTTAAATTGCACAAGCACGAACATACAGACCCGGGATAATTATTTGTCGGCCATACAAATACTTGTTCCAAATACGAACCCGCGGTCCTCAGCGCTGTAACTCATTGCTAAGTCACGGAGCCGTCTAACTGCTAAACGTTAACAGTCTAACGTCTAAATACTGACATCCTCAAAGATATTTTTACTACAAGTGGATGTTCTGTATCGTGGAGGCAGTATACATACCTACATAAATTGCACAAGCACGAACGTCCAGACCCGGGATAATTATTTGTCGGCCATACAAATACTTGTTCCGTGCGGCATACGAACCCGTGGTCCTCAGCGCTCCAACTCATTGCTAAACCACGGAGCCGTCTGCTAAATGTTAGCAGTCTAAATACTAACGTTCTCAAAGATATTTTTAGTACATGTGGCTGTTATTTGTGTGGTGGCGGGGCAAAAAAAGCTTTCGCCAATCCCGACGTAATTCTTATAAGGTTAAAGTCCGAATGATTTTGTGGATGGTACATACATAAGTACAACCTAATATAAGATACCCACCCCAGCAATACTGGTAGCAGCGTCAATGGGGGAAAAACGAACAATACTACGAACGCAAATCTACCTGACAAACGACGTGTAACTATTTACGGACCGATAAGGTAGAGGATAGAAGGTACTGTAGTTGATTGTGAATGAAAAAAAAAACCTTTAATATACCAACGTATTATTTATTCATCCATAAGTATGTTTGTTGCAAAAGTAAAAAAACAAAACATAATCACCACATATGTAAACAAATACAAATTTAGGAATTAAAAGCAGCACCCAAAGAGAATATAATCACTACGTTTAGTAGCACCTTAAAATATTTTTCTTTTATGGAAATATGAAAAAGTAAATTTTTGTTCATGATGATTACAATTTATAGCATAAACAATATAATTACATTATTATAAGCTCAGAATAGTAGTATTATATAGTGTCTATATATTACACACAAATATTTTACAATATTAAAATCTATCAAGCTATGAAGAGTGATGCTGTGATCTAAAGTAACCGACATAGGCCAACGGGTCCGTAAGCTGAAGTATCAATATAGCTCGAAGAACCGACAACCAATGCGAAAGAAAGGTTCTCGAGTGGCAGCCTCGTATCGCTAAACAAAGTTTATGGCGGAAATTAGATGTTCACATACCTGTAAAGATATGCAGGAAGTGTATGGATGCAGAAGGTATTATGGCATTGTTTAGCGGCGGTCTATGTTCAGCAGTGGTAGACTTGTGATAGCTGTTAATGGTTATGATCATGAGGACGATGATAATAAAACAAAAATATTTTATCAATTAATATATACAACAAAAATCAGCATCATATAATCTGCTAATATCTGAAATAATATTTATACATCTATACAAATAAATAAAATTGAAGTGTCTGTTTGTACTTTGTAATGTCAAAATTACAGTTTTTTTACTAAATGCATATGAAAGTAAATACGGTACTTATAACTAAAATTCAATTTTTAAAATTTTTGTCTGTCTGTTTCTTCCGTCTAATCTCCGAAACGGCTGGACCGATTTTGACGGGACTTTCACTGGCAGATAGCTGATTTCATAAGGAGTAACTTAGGCTACTTTTACTACGCGTTCATTTCGAGTTTGCCGTCGCCGACCGTTATGACGTAACAGCTGACGGTACCGTAGACAAAACTATTATTGTAAGTGTTTTAATTATTGTATGAAGTTCGATTTTTAGTTTGTTGTCCTATACAGAGAAATGGAGGGCAAACAAGTAGATAAAATGCATATTATTGAATAATTTATTTAGTTAGTAAAATAAAATAATAACACTGAATAGAAACATGTCCGATAAAATAAAATATTTTTATTAAAGTTTTATTATATATTCTAAATAAATTATTTACGAAGACGCGAAAAAAAACAAGCAGGTAATTATTTGTAATCCATAACTTCCATACGAGTTATTTTATCAAAATCGTTCGTCCCTGTATCACTACCATCACTACATTCTGTGTTTATCACAAATTAACGAACGTAAAAAGTCAACCGAAACAAAAAATTAACAGTAACAACAACAACAAAAACAGTAACAAACAAGAGATCGCACTAGAGCACAAACAGTAGATACATTTCAGCGTTGCTATCGGTACTATATGGGCGACGGGTGAGGCGCGGTATGAGGGAGCGCGGCGGGAGGTTACGGCATTCATGAAGTGAACACGTAGTATTTTAGAAAAGGAATTAGGGTTGCGCGCGAAAACATAAAAACCCTAACACGCGGACGAAGTAGCGAGGAAAAGCTAGTATGAAAATAAAACGATAGAGGCTAGCATTTGCAACTTTTATTTCTTAGACACTTGCCTTATCAAAAAAAAAATTGCGATATCTTCATTTAATATAAAGTTGTTAACGTTTTAAGAAACAACGATTTTTATACGGGATTTTTAACACGGTCAACTGTACGTCGCTTGCTCTCGCGTTACTAACCCAATTAATTTATATTTGTAGCTACAAACGGAGCAACGAATAACATTGTTAAGAAAGAAATTTTGTACGCGATTTTTTTGATGTTTTTTCTTTCGCATGTACGAAAACTTTGTTAATATGTCAAGCAACGCGGACGAAGTCGCGTGTATCAGCTAGTCTTAAATTTTTCACATATAGTGAGTTTTGTTACATCTTTGGACTAACAAAGAAAGATAGATGGAATAATATTACGTACTAAATGGAATATGTAAGAGTAGCTCTTACCTCTTACCCCCGCCACATAAAAGTGCCTGCACTGCCGTGTTTCGGTTTGACTGCTGGGCATAGAGAGCCAGTATAATAATAATAATAATAATAATAATAATGTAATTTTAATTCTCAGAGGTGTAAACGTATCTGTAGCATTCTTTGTTCCAAGTTAGCTGCAGGTGCCCATGGGCTGCAGCAACAATTTACTATCAGATGCACTGTAAATTCGTTTGTCGCTTGTTTAATAAAAAAAAAAGTATATTTTAAGTGACGCACAAACCATGGTAAGCACCTTAAACTATATTGGTTGCAAATGGACTGAGCATGGTTACCTACGTAATGTTCGGTCTATCTTTGTTGGTCTGAGGTTTCATCATAGAACATTATTCCAAATATTTAAAAAAAAAATCGACTAAAATTTAAATATTTATTAGAAGGTTAAATATAAATTTTCCCCCTGGAAATAACAAGATTGCTTCTAGGCTAATCTCTACAATGTATAAACTATAAATGCAGTATGAACTGGAGATCATGGTTATTGGCAAAGACATTCCATCTTTGTCCCCAGGTATCGGAAACATACATTTTGCCACACTTGGGGACTTTGTAGGAAAAAATATTTCTTGAAATATAATTAAATATTTTGCTTCGAATTTTTCGTTTTTTTTTTCTTTATTTAACTGACACAGTCATTTCCATTTATAATATTATGTAGCCAGTACCCATGGGTACGTGGAATATATAAGGATGTCAGTATCCAAGCCAGCTACAGGATATGACACTAGAAAGTCTAAATTTTATTATAACAAAATCAAACTAATATAATACCATCAAACTCTATTAAACATTTATTTATGGTAAAAAAAAATATTTAACCAGTAAACCAAATTATTATGCTCTTTGTTTTTAAATAAAGTCAATTTCTCTATAGTAATTTGAAAAGTAACTTAACTGTAATATTTTTTAATTTATAATTTCCACAAAAGATCATTCACCGTCAAAAAAATTTGCAAATCACTGTAAACTTACTTAACCCTGCCACCATTTAAAAAAGAATAAATCCATCGGATTATTTACCCAAGTATTTCCAGGACTTTGTGCCCCATCATTTACATTTACCCAATTTTTATTAAAAGAATCCATTATCCTATATGTCTACTTGGACTTCTTAATGATAACCTTTGGCTTCAGTTTCACAGTTCTCAGTTTATGCATGTGGCTCATAACGAAGAACATGCCCGGGAATGTAAGGACCAATAAATATATCCTCAGAAATGAGGGGAAATGGAAAGCGAAGTTCCATTCATTTGGTAATGATACGGTGAACCTCTGTGTTTCCTCAAAGTATGGGACGTTCCGTAAGATAACTATAGATTCACATAAGATACCCAGAGGATACAATGGTATCCACATTGTGTACCGCAGCCACGTTAATATGTAGATCTCCTTTTTGTATATTTGGGATATGTAGAACGGGTACCTGAAATTTTTTTGGCAATATTATCAAACAGATCAGGAGGCATACTTGTCATTGCATATGAAATCAGTAAGCGCATTTCAAAATGAGTATTAAATGTATCAGTTCACTTATTCAAGTAGTTTAATTTTTTTGTCAGTTAGCTCAATTTAATGTAATTTCCAAACAATATTTTAATATTTTCAAGTGGTAACACTGAAATCTATGATATCTCGTCCACAGTGCTATTGTAGACGATTGAGCCAAGTGTCAGAAGGCGTAAAGTAGCCCACCTACTAGTAGTATTCAACAGGATGCATTTTGGACTGCGCAGAATTTACATGACTTAATTATTCCCTCTCCCTGCCACTGTCGGACAACCAGAAGTTTTTTGAACCAGAAGAATTTGCCAGCGTGTCTTTCTATCTGATTGCAATGTGCGTGACTTCAAGCTAAGATTTATCAGTGCGCTTTAACATGTTCGGCTACATCAACACTTACCATCAGCTGGAACTGGCACTTAGTAAAGCACTGGTAATAGATATAGTCTGTTCGCTAAGTGCCGGTACACTCGGAGTCGCACTTATTATTTTACTTTTATTTTTTACTGTGTTTGTTAAATAAATGTTTTTCTATTCTAAGAATAAAACAGAATACTATTTTATTCTTATGGCCATTGTAATAAAATACGAATATAAATAATAAACACAAGTTAGGTAACAAAGAATTTTTCACTACGGCGTTTCGTTTTAAAATGCCAAATTCGCTTGCGGGCCGCACGTGGCGATGATGGCGCGGCACCTTTGAAAAGATGCGGCACGTGTCACGGCGGCGCGACTTAAAGGCGACCGTATCTAAGCGTACAGACTATAAAATAGATTTTTTCTCTCAAATTAAATAAGTTTGGCCAAGAGGATAGTATTTACTTTTGTAAAGTAACAACCTCTTGTCAACATTACCTGACGATTTCAATGAGACTCCATATTAAAAAGAGATAGAAGACAACCGGTTTCGTCTGTATGCGGGGTTCGGCTTCGATCATTGCGAACAGTACGAACGCCCGCCCGCTTACTTGAAGGAATGGTACGAGGACTCCACCCTAAAATGTTATAAGCCATTTCAATTGTTGTTGTTCAGTTGCAATCTTTCGAGGTGTGTTTGTATATTACATAATATACGACAGGTCAGGCAGAAATATTTAAGAAAGTTGTTTGCATATAAGACACTGGCCAGTTATATTTTATTTTGATAATAAGATTACTTACAAGTAAAAATGCGAATGTTCCAATTTTAAAATTTACCTACACATTTTACGAGGTAAATTAAAATATAGTTTTATTGAACAAATGGATTTGCGTTGGGAAAATTTTGTGCGAATATATTTTTCATATGTTTTTAAAATTTACCTACACATTTTACGAGTTAAATTAAAATATAGTTTTATTGAACAAATGGATTTGCGTTGGGAAAATTTTTTGCGAATATTTTTTTAATTTTTCATATGTCGCCTAAAACCGGACGAATAGTATAATATAGCTCAAATGGCATTTATGGATAAAAGGCTAGGCAACCGTGTACTGTAGGTTTATCAAACTTCAGCACGGTTGGCCAGACTTCTGTGTATGTATATTACTAGAGGGACACTACGGTACTAATAATACATTGCACGTTGCAGTCAATTCTGAAGTTTATTTAGATATACCTAAACAGTAACTGTCATAAATCAAAATACAACTGCGTAGCATATTAATACTATGGCGTGATCGCGGAGAAGGAAGAATTTCAAATTATTGCAATACATACAAATGTGAACTTTAATAACTTGAAAATAAACTTCGTTTTCGAATTACAAATACTATTTAAAAGGTCATAAAAATATTTTAATTGCAATAGAAAAAAAAACTTTATATGATGGGAATTAAGTTTAAAAATGCAAAGCAATAAAAAAATCCTGCTCTGCGACCGTGCTTTAGATGGTTATATCGCTACCTATCGAAAGTCAAATGTCTCACGGGAAACACGCGGTGATGGATTATTTCACGCCATCACACATGTTAATTGTTAAGGGCCTGGCAATGTATCTAATATGATACGCTCAATAAATCTTGAATTACTTATATTATATTTTTTTTTATTATTTTTTATCCCTTCAATAACCACCCAAGAACATATTTAAGATTATTTTTTTCAATATTTCTAAAATATTTTTTCTTGCCAAGTATAGGGTTAATAATTCTCAAATGATATTAAATCTATATGTATATATATATATATATATATATATATACATATATATATATATATATATATATATATATATATATATATATATATATATATATATATATGTGGGTATGTATATATATAGGTATATATAAAATTATTTTATTAAATAATTATTTAAAAAAAATTTGTTATAGAAATCAGCCTGTATATTATGTATAGTATACCGTACACGCTCATCGCGGTAAACTAGCGAAACCTGTTTGTCGTCATGTCACTAATACAATGAATAGGTTGTTAGTTGTTATCATTATTAACTTTATCAATTATACGACGGTAGTTATTAAAAATAATATATTTATGCGTATAGACGTCGGCAAGCACCAATACAAACCGTTTTGCGGTTTAATGGTGCTGTATAGTAACTATGCACTATTGTAATATGTTTTATGTATCATTAAATAAAAAAAATAAAGTAGTTATATTCTACAGACAAACCTTGGTGTATCCGAACATAGGATGCATGACTTCCAGATACTGCATCAGCTGGAGAAACTTCATAGCTGGCCCCACGTGCTCGTACGTGTCTGAGACGGACTCGTATTCTAACTTAGCGTAGCGTACTCCCATCACCGCGAGCACGTACACGAATCCGATGAATTGGAATAGATTGTAGATTACGAGGTATACTTTTTTTAGGTCTTCTGAAATATAATAAAGTAAAATTACAGCCTAAATACGTCCCACTGCTGGGCACAGGTTTCCTCATTTCGGAAAGGATTATGGAACAGTTAATTCACCGCTTTCTTCACCCACATGCTTGGTAGTGGTAATCCAGCACTTAAAATTGTAATTGAGAATTTCAGTAGTGTCGGCAGGGATCGAACTCTTCTCTTCTTCTTTACATTATTTGAAATTTTTAGGCAAACACTTATCTCCTAAGCTACCAAGGCTTTCATATAATTGCTAGTCGGAATATTTTCAAAATGTGAATGCCACCATATGAATGCGGAGGGGTTCACATCTGGACAAAGGCTCATACAAGTTAAGAAGATTTTTTTAAATTTAAGTTAAGCTTTGCAAGGATAATAGTGGTTGTCTTAAACCATTTTAAGGTTTAAGAAGAAAAGAAGAAAATTTTCAGGTATTTTCTCATTCGACCTTTACCCACAAGACAAAATTATTTTATAAATTCCTTACATAATGACTACATCTGTGGTGTAGTCATTATGTAACGTTTCTACAGGATTATACCTTTTCTATAGCCCATTTCTTCCTGATGCAGTCTGTCATACATTCCTGGATAGTCTCTCATAACATCCCTTGCTTCGTCGTCACTGTCCTGACCATCCTCAGATTTCCAAAGATCAAAATTTATCTGTAAAGTATTTAAATTACAAAATACAATGATAAGTATTATCTATAAAATACAAATCAACGATTAACAAGCGCCAGATTAGAATACACAATCATTGGCAGGAGAGATAAAAACCTAAGCACCAATACAAGGCAATTACAAATTAATGTCCAGATGTTTGGAGTGCTTTACAGTACTCATGGTCACGAGGAAACTAAGTTGTTTATTTCTTTTATTTAAAAATCCATATTGCATTCCCATATAAAAAGAAAAATACAAAGAGTGTACATAAAGCTTAAAGGCGTTTTCTACCAGTCAAACCAAAAAAATTAAAATTAGACGTAGGTGTAGCAAATAAAAAAAAAACTATATAATCCAACATAAATACACATTACAATATATAACAAAATATATTATGATATTATATTGTACGTACATCTACATATATTGAAACATTTTCATATCATAAATATATATAAGTACGAGGGGCACACTGAAATGATCGGGAATAAGAAAAACTACATGCACGGTATAGCTAAATTGTATTTTATTGTTTTTCGAAGTATTGTCCGTTCAACTTAATGCACTTTTCCATTCGTGCAAACCAACCATTAAAACAGTAATTCTAGTCTGAAGTTGATGTTGACAAAATGGCTGATTTGTACGCTTCCACAGCTGCTTCGGGGTCTTCAAACCGTTGACCGCGTAATAAATCTTTCATTCTAGGGTATGTAAATAAACCTTTTGGGCTCAGGTCAGGACTGTACGGAGGATGGCTCATCAGCTCAACGTTTTCCTGCTTCAAAAAATCATTTGTCTTCCGAGCCGTAGCCGACGTTTCGGGTTATTATAGTGATATACCATTCAGCGGTAACCGTTCTGCGTTCCTGTTAAGGGATTGTAGCAACATGCCCCTTTTTCGAGACAAACGTAGCGACCATTTTCTTTGACACGCTGCGGGAGCGAACCACTTTCGTTGGTTTGACCTCGTCTTAGAAGACCCAAACTGCTGACTGATGTTTTCTTTCAGGTTCGTATGAATAAATCCATGATTCGTCACCTGAGACGATATTATAAACGTCATTTGACTTCCCTCCGTTGAAGCGTTGCAGAGTATTCCGGCACCAATCTACACGAGCCGCCCTTTGCTCTTCGGACAAATTGTGGGGAACCCAGCGGGAAACTAGCTTTCTTACACACAGCTCATTATGTAATATCGACTGAATTGCAGTCATTCCCATACTGATAACAGCCCGAATCTGCTCGTATGTCACATGATGGTCATCTAATATAATAGTTCGACCAGCTGCGATGTTTGCAAGCGTGACCGCTGTTATTGGTCGACCTGTAGAAGAAACAGTGCTGACCGACACACGATCGCGTCGGAACTCGGCATACCAGCGGTATATTGTCATTTGACTCGGTGCTTCAACATGATAAATCGAAACAAGTTCGCTGAGACATTTATTTGAGATAAGCCGCGACGAAAATTGTGATAAATTATGGCACAGAAATGTTCATTCCATTTCCATTTCTTATAACGACGTGTCAACTTTAAACCAACATAGTTTTTGTTTTTAATTGTTTGAACGTCATTAAAATTCTAAGAGGCCAGTATTTAAATTCTAAAAAAGGTTTTATTGTAACTCAATCCGAAATATTCTATACCCGATCATTTCAGTGTGCCCCTCGTATATATGTGTATATACACACAAATACAAAATAAATAAGACTAGCAATATTTTATATCGTATGATTCCTCAGTAGTATCGTAATTTCATAATTAATAGAATCAGGCGTTAATAATGGGGTTGTTATAAACTAATTTGCTTAATTCCGCGTAAAGAAAGAAAATGATGTGTCCTGCCCATTTTTAAGCGGACCTCCCACCTTTCCTCGATCGCGCGCACTATACTCGTCGCCGTGAATCACAGCACTACCACCTCCAGCACCACCACACTAGGCACTCTCGAAAATACGACACGTGTTTCGCCTCAACACAAGGCATCCTCAGGTGAAGTAGTCTACGGAGGCTGGCCGCTAAGTAGACTCTACGGAGGCTTAGCGGTCAGCCTCCGCAGAGTCTACTTCAACGGAATTAAGCAGATTAGTTTATAAAAACCCCTAATTTCATAGTTAACCCAATCTATATTCAACAGTTTCAATTAATATTTATAAATTCTAAAATCTTACATATCAACATTTTGAAAATGTTTTATTATATTACAGAAATGAAATGAAATGTAAATGAGTATACAAGTTTGAGCAGTGAAGGGAATAATTGTTAAACGTTAGGGCTAACCTCACTTGCTAGCAGTGCATTGAAATAAAATGAAACATATATTTTTTCTTCAACATAAGAAAATTTTGTTAAAATTGTCATATGTTATGTCATTATGCTAATCAAAAAATAAAGCTTTATGTGATGGAAGAATCCATTCAATAACACTGAACGCAAATCAAACGAAAATTACACAGTTGAGATCATTAGTTTGTTAAACTTAAAAAAACTGTATATTGAGTTACCTATACAATAATTTAAAATTTTGTTCAACCGACTTCAATATAAATTATTAAGAATAACTCAAAAACTATTGGTTAGACCTTGATCAAATTTATATGGCACCACATGTGAAGCATCACACACAAAAAAAAACATACATTCGAATTGAGTAAAATCTTCTTTTTGAAGTCGGTAAAAAAACAATTGGTAAATCCAATTGGGCATACCTTAAGCGCATTAAAAAAAGTTACGTATAACATTATACGGAATTTTTAAAGAAGTTTAAATACATTTCGACAGCACTATCGGCTTCAACACCCTCGAAAACCATAAAAATGACACCCATGATGAAAAAATTGATACCTATTGCAGCCGCCATCTTGGATTTACATTTCGACAGCACTATCGGCTTCAACACCCTCGAAAACCATGAAAATGACACCCAAGATGAAAAACTTGATATCTATTGCAGCCGCCATATTGAATTTATATTTCCACAGCACTATCGGCTTCAACACCCTCGAAAACCATGAAAATGACACCCAAGATGAAAAAATTTATATCTATTGCAGCCGCCATCTTGGATTTACATTTCGACAGCACTATCGGCTTCAACACCCTCGAAAACCATGAAAATGACACCCACGATGAAAAACTTGATATCTATTGCAGCCGCCACCTTGGATTTACATTTCGACAGCACTATCGGCATCAGCACACTCGAAAACCATGAAAATGACACCCATGATGAAAAAATTGATACCTATTGCAGCCGTCATCTTGGATTTACATTTCGACAGCACTATCGGGTTCAACACCCACGAAAACCATGAGAATGACACCCATGATGATAAAATTGATACCTATTGCAGTCGCCATCTTGGATTTACATTTCGACGGCACTATCGGCTTCAACACCCTCGAAAACCATGAAAATGATACCCAAGATGAAAAAATGTGTATCTATTGCAGCTGCCATCTTGGATTTACATTTCTACAGCACTATCGGCTTCAACACCCTCGAAAACCATGAAAATGACACCCATGATGAAAAAATTGGTAATTTGTTCAGCCGCCATCCTGGATTTACATTTCGACAGCACTATCGGCTTCAATACCCTCGAAAACTATGAAAATTTGTGATTGTGAAAATGATAATGTCAACACTCATGCTATTAAATATTATAACATTCATAAAAGAAAATAAATACATACGAGTAATTAAATTCTGTTCAGTGTTTGATATTATATAATATTAAAATAAAATCTTATGTGAAATAGGTTAAGTCTTATTAGTGTTAATGTTATCTGCAAAATTACTATTTGAAGATTTAAGATAATCATTGGAGATGGAGATATCCAATAATTATCTGGTAGAATTTTTAGAAACATTATTAATAAAACTGCATAGTTCATAATTACCAATATAGTCATTGACAAAATACGCCATCTAGTGGTAACTACCGCAAGCCGCGTTGTACTAAGGAATACAGCGGCATCTAGCGTACACGATACACCCATTCGAAAACTGAAATGTGAGTGGCGCATCTATCCCTGGTATATAGTGTATTATCTATGACTGAAGCCGAACTAAAGCTAAACTACTCTGTGGCTGTAGCTCCCCATTTACAGAAATAATTTACATACAATACAAGGCTACCAAATCAACGAAAATTTCGCCATTTTGGAGCCGAAAAAAATTAATTATAGCTAAACAAAACAAAATTACACTGCCATTTACATTCAGTGGGTTCCCACATGATAGATGAAGAGATTAAAAAATAGATTGAGTTAAACAATTAATATTTTCAAAAGTTATCGTGTTTACAAGCCTTGGGGACATGATAAATCCACGCCATAAACCACTAAAACCCCTTTTTTATTTAAAAATAGTAATTAATCGATTTAAAAAAAATATTAATAAGTTCAACAATCATTTATCTTTCTAACAATGTGCTTTTTATACCATTTATATGTATAATATGATTGCTAGATACGATTTTATTCTATAAAACTTTGGAATTTTAGGCGATAGTAGAACATACCTTGCGCTTTCGCTTAAGGTATGTAAAAGAAATGTCCGTTTGTAATGTTAAAATAACAGCTTTTTACTAAATGCATATGAAAGTATATATATATACAGAACTAATAACAAAAAACAATTTATACATTTTTTGTTTGTCTGTCTGCTAATCTCCGAAACGACTGGACCGATTTTGACGGGACTTTCACTGGCAGATAACTGATGTCATAAGGAGTAACTTAGGATACTTTTATTTTAGAAAAAGAATTAGGGTTCCACGAAAAAAAGTAAAACCCATGAAATTGTAGTAAATTCCACGCGGAAGAAGTTGCGGGGGACAGCTACTAATAATAATATTCAATACTTTAGAATTAATATACCCCTCGTATAGTGGCGTGTAAGAATACCCACTACCCCATATCTTCCCGTGGGTGTCGTAAGAGGCAAGAGGGAAAATAAGACAGAAGATGTGCAGCGGCATCATTCTGATAACAGCAAATTACAATAAAAAACTGCGGTTGCCAACCCGCTCGCCAAGCGTGGCAACTATGGCAATATACCCCCCCCCATGACGAGAGTTACAAAAAAACGGCCCCAAGTCCTCGGCGGCTCCGCTACTCCTGGCTACGGTGGTGACCATGGTAACGGCGGGGTAGCTGGGGCTAAGAAGCTCCGGTGGAGGTTCGCTTGCCTTCTAAAATAACGCATGTACCCTGAGGACTGACGAGAAGATCCTGAAGCTGGAAAAAGGGATAGACAAGTTGCGCTGGGATATTATAGGATTATCTGAGGACCGAACAGAGGGGGGGGGGATACGGTAATCCTCGAATCCGGCAACTTGTTATATCATCGGGAGGGCAAACATCTGTCTCAAAGAGGTGTCGGATTTATCGTCTATAAGTCTCTCGTTAACAACATATTAAAGATAATGAATGTGTCGACGAGGGTTGCGTACCTTATACTTAGAATCACCAAACGGTATTCGTTGAAGTTCATACAGGTTTATGCACCAACCTCGGCACATCTCGATGAGGAGGTGGAGGAAATGTATGTGGATATATCCAGAGCCATGCATCCCTCCAAAACCCACTGTACTGGGAGACTTCAACGCAAAACTAGGCACAAGAGAGAACGGTAAGCTGAAGGTAAAGAAATTTGGAATAGGGCCACGGAACGCAAGGGGTCAGCAGCTGACTAATTTCATAAAGAAAGAGAGGCTCTTTGAAATGAACTCTTTCTTCCAGAAGCGGCCCCACAGGACTTAGACTTGGTCGAGCCACGACGGTTCGACAAAAAATGAAATTGAATTCATTATGACGACTAGACGGCAAATGTTCATTGATGTCTCAGTGAAAACTGGTAGCAATCACCGAATGTTTAGAGGCACACTGAACTTCTGAAAGCGGGTGGAAAACAGGTACTTGAAGTCCTTCAGAAGCTTTTTAATTCCGTCCTCCATGGTGGCAATACTCCGGAGGCGTGGAGCAGAAGTGCGGTGGTCTTGTTCTTCAAGAAACGTGACAATGCTCTCTTGAATAACTACAGACCGATTTCCCTTCTGAGCTGCGTCTACGTGCTGTTTTCGAGAATCATTACGAATTGTCTCGCACGCAGACGCGACGATTTCCAGCCTCCCGAACAAGCCGGTTTCCGAAAGGGCTTTAGCACCATAGTTCATATGCATACGATGAAGACCGATGAGTACAATATGCCACTTTGTGCTACAGTCACTTCAGCGGTGCCAAGTTGACTGTCGGTATATAGAAGTGCTGAAGTGTTTGTACAGTAGAGCTACGATGCCTACCCGAGTACAAAACCAAAGTACGAAACCTATCCAACTGCAGAGAGGTGTAAGACAGGGTGATGTTATATCCCCGAAACTCTTAACCGCTGCATTGGAAGATGTTTTCAAGTTACTGGACTGGATAGAATACGGTATTAACGTCAATTGCGAGTACCTACATCACTCACTTCTATTAGACTCTAGAGAAGCCATTCGAGAATGTTTCTTCCCCATCGATTCTCGGTGTTTCGAGCTATATGGCCGGCCCACTGCCACTTCAGCTTACTAATCCGCTGGGCTATGTCGGTTACTCTGGTTCTACTGCGGATATCTTCTTTTTTAAGTCGTATTCGTATCACAGAGAGAAACCCCGAGCATAGCCCTTTCCATAGCTCGCTGAGCGATCTTGAACTTTCTCATACGGCCAGCAGTGAAGTACCACGTCTCAGATCCATAGGTATCACTGCAACACGCACTGGTTGAACAATCTTGTTTTGAGGTACGACTGACGACTCACAGAATACCGGCGTTAAATAGAAGCTTAACGCTGCTGTGTTTCGTATGGTGAGTGTAGAGAACCGGAGATCATTTTTACTGAAAAAGAGGCATTCCATCTTAGTCCTCACGGGTGACAACGCATCTGCATTTTGATTCGCAAACGAGGATAGATGTAGATATCTATGGGCCACAGCAACCACTTACCATCAGGTGGACTGTGTGCTCGTTGGTCACCCTATCCTATAAAAACAAAAATTTACGTATGTTAACATTATTAATTTTTAAAGTTTCATAATAATATTTCTATTTTTTATATTGAAGGTACTTATAAATCTAAATGGACATGTCATTTTAATAACGCTTTGTGATGATTTTATGACTATGAAAGAGCCAAAGATCAATCGACCAGATCATCATATCAAAGATGTCACAAGGCTAGTATAAAGGCTAGATATACAGCATAATATGTATTCAATGTCATACAAAAAATTGAAAGACCTCAATAGCTCTTTGAATTATGATTAAAATATCAAGTTCCTATGATGATTTTTGATAGCTTTATCATATAATATGTATAAATATGCATAATTACTACTCCTGGAGTTTTGAAAACCTACATGCGATTGGCCGCCACAATTTTCAACACCAGTTTAGTGTTCATTTATACAGGAGTGTTCCACAAACAAAAAAAAATTATGATCGGACCGTTCGAGTTACCAGCCAGATTAAACGGCAACGCATACTTGCAATTTTTACAAAATAAATTTCCTGAAATTTTGGAGGAAGTCAACTTGGCTGTATGGAGTTGCATGTACTTTCAATACGATAGAGTTCAATGCCACTTCGCACGGAATGTAAAGGAATATTTTAATCAAATTTTTTCATGTAGATGGATAGGCCGTGGTGGGCTTAGCATCCAAGGTCGCCAGACCTCTCTGGGGATATTTCAAAGGGCTGGTGTACAACTGCGAATACACCTCTATTGAACAATTACGGCTGAAACTGAACCAGGCCCAAATGAAAATTAGGAAAAAAGAAGAATCAGGCTCAAAAGAAATTTTATAAAAAGATATAGGCTATGTATCGCCAATAATGGAGCTCATTTTGAACATTTACTTTAAATAAGCGTGTCAAAAATAATAAATAATATTTTAATGGTACATATTCGTGTGTTTTATTGTACTCATTTCTGTCCTTTCGTATAGTAATCTCGTTATTCTACTTACTACGCTTTACAAAATAAACTTACTTACGTTTTTTAGTAGACTTTAAATTAAAGAAAAATTGTTGATTATTGGCACATGGACTTTTTAAGTATATTTTTCAACATTATGCTTGCGACATTCTTCATGAAAGCCAGTAGTTTTTAAGAAAGATTACAGAAAGAAATAATATGTGAAATATTTGTTTTAGAACCATAGAATGTTAATGCAAACATTAGATTTTGAAAAAAAAAAACATTACATAATTTTAGATCATTGGATTTTTATAAAACTATGCTTCTGTTTGGTGTAAGGGTACAAAAAACCCTCTGTTTATCTTGTTTGAGAAAAAAAATCACAGTTGCTGAACTAATAGCTTGGCTGAAATGTTGAAGTATAGGCTAAAATCGGATTTTGACAATATTTTTACTATAGTCCTACAATAACTTTTGAACCACTGAATATCGCATTACATAAAGAGGGGGGGGGGGGGGGGGTTAAATCGATAGGTATTGAGGTCCTCCACCTGCCACCAATGATTCACCCCTCAAGTTACACCATGTATATTCTCTCTCCTAATTAAAAGAAAAGAAAAGAATTTTTTGATTGTAATATAAACATCAATAAAAACTGATTTCATTTAAAATATGTTTAAGTTGTAATTCTACCCCGATTGCAAAGAAAGTCAAATTTATTTTGGGGCACAATAGTTTCTCCCATGTGTTATCACAATGTTTCATTGCTCATGTAACGGAGTATTAAATTAACTTTTAATAATGAATAATAACTATAACATTACATAAATGCTAGCTGGAACTTTTTAGAATTTGTGAATCTAAAAAAGTCAGTGGCTTAAGAAGACTGTTGACGATAATGAATGCAAGTCAAAAACAAAAAATCCTCAGCCTATAATTTCTTCAGAGTTATATTATAGTATTTGTCAAAATAAAATAATAGATATTGGTAATATATTTGATGGTTACAATGTACCTTTAGCCATGCTGGTTTCTGCGGTTGAGCTGTAAGCCGGGGCCACCAAGAAGCTTTTTGCTTCTGTAGAACCAATTCCACTCGGTTCTCAAATACCCGAACTATTGGGTCTTGATTGCCATCATTATTCTATCAACAAATTGTTTAAATTAATGTGTATGTAATGAAGTTAAAAATAACATAATTTGCAACTATTGCCAATAATACAAAAGACAAGTATATGGACTAGGTTTATAATTAGAAAAAAAATTGTATCTCATGAAAAGTATCCTTAATACTTTATTGTGCCTCTATAGCTTATAACATGTGATATGTAAAAATCATAATTCTAAAATCAGTAAATGAAATATGTGCAGAATGTTTAAATATTATTGTTACTTTCAAATAGGATTTAAATTGGCTTAGCTTTCCATTGACTCCCGTCGAGTTGCGGGTTGATACGTATTTTTACAGAAAAGTTACACTATTATAAGCACACACACAAAGTTACAACATACGGAAACGCGTAATTTTTGAGAAAAAAGTTATTGAAAATCAATTATTCTTGCATTGTTAATATCTAATCCTACCATAAAACTGACGCCATTTTTTAATGTCATTGTTGTCAGTAGGAATGTCGATTCTTTCCGAAAAAGGTTGATTTTTAAATCGATTCAAATCGTAAGCTGATGTATTGATTCATAAAAAATCGATTTCTAAAATATCTATATTTTTTTATGTTTGCATTTATTAATTATGAAAAACAAGAAAGATACCATAATAAATGATCTCTTATTGAATTTTGTTTTATTTTAACAGTACCAATTAGGGCAGATAACAAATAAAATATGTTAGGTTCAACTTATGTCAAAGAACCGAATTGATTGACCCCGACTCCACCTGGTACGAGTCTGTCCTACCCCTAGAGTGGTTTTAAAGAGCTGGAGGCACGTAGGGGGAGCAGCCTCCGCCTGCTGTAACAAATCATAGGCATCGGACGAGCCAGAGCGGAGGCAAGGAGGGATGCCTGCGATTTGTTACGCTAAGGCGTAGAGGCTGCTCTTCCCGCAGCGTCGGAGACGTAGCAGTCTCAAAATAGATACAGAAATCCTTCTGAATCAGTCCCCCTATATTTTATGATGAAGGGGACTTTTTTCTCATAAAATGGATTTATATTTACATTATAAATGCAAACATGAAAAAAATATAGATATTTTAGAAATCAATTTTTTGGGAATCGATACATCAGCTTACAATTCAAATCTATTTAAAAAATCAATATTTTTCGGAAAGAATCGACATCCCTACTGACAATAACAATAAAAAAATGGCATCAGTTTTATTGTAGGATTAGACATAAACAATGCACAACTTTTTTCTCAAAAATTACACGCTTCTGCATATTGTAACTTTGTGTGTGTGCTTATAATAGTGTAACTTTTCTGTAAAAATACGTATCAACCCCAAACTCGATGGGAGTCAATGGAAAGTCGCACCTATAAATTTATATGAAAACCATAACTTTACTTTTATGTTGATAAATAGGGTACATTTATATTATTCTGCGGATTTATTTTCAAATTCATAAGCTTAAAAATAATTACTTCTAATATTTACAGGTACTACTTATAATTACCGACTTAAGTGATGAAAATAGATCCAAGCTGAATCCATATTGGGTTTCTCCATGGGCTCCTATACCTTTACCAGAAAATTTAATACTATTATCACTAACATTTACGTCAGGATTGACGACATTCTTTAAGTCAATTTTTAATGTAATACACTTGTCTGTTTGAGCCCAATATACGAATGGACTAGGTACAATCATTCTTTTATAGATTATTGCCTTTCTAATAAACCTATGAAAAACGAAAATACACAAAACTTTACTAAAATTCACAGAACATTCAACTCTATGTGATCTCTTTGCTCCATAGATTATTACTTTAATTAATAATTATTCTAATATAAATTAACATTAATTAATATTTCCTCCTTGCATTTACAATGACATTAAATTTGAAAAAAAGAGATAATCCTTGGTATAGTGTATTATCTATGATCCTTGGCCTTGGATATAAAAAGATACTGTGATAAACAAGTGACAACTGACCATAGATAAATATATATGTAGCAAGACCTTTGAGCATAGAAAATAGAGGAGATGGCAAGCCTACAAAAAAATCGTGTCAAATTGAAACAATAAATGGTGGACGCCGTAAGCTCAGCCCATTTTTTAGTGATGTGAAGTCAATCAACTTTTAAAATTTAGTAACACCTATATGTATTTTATTTATTTTTAAATATGCAAAATTATATTTCCTCTAACGATTAGGGAGGCTAGGGGAATTTTGCGTGAATTTATCCGTCAGATGATTGCTGCTCCAGTTTTATCGTTTAAATAATAGATTGAAGACGATTTTGATACTTAATGCACGGATAGCAACTCGTGCTAAGTTGTAAGTTAGCAAGCTAGTTGCTAAGACTTCATATTATACAGAATAAGCTTTACTTCTGGGCTAATAAATTACTATCTAAAGCCAGGATGGTTAAACAGGGCTTCTCTTTTTGAACTAGTAGCACCCCCCACCATTTTTTTTCTACTATTCTGGCTTGTGCACCAGTTTCGTATGGCCGGTTAAGCTAATATCTTTTGAAGTAAAAACTACTTTAGAATCGCAGTGATTTTAATATTATTATACTTTACGATGCATTTGTGGTTACAAATAAATCGTATACAAATAAATTATTTGCCGTGAAATATTTTTTATTTTATATCCACCCGGTTTAGCATGGGTGATTTCTGGATTTTGGCAACAAAATCAAATAATAAAAATCTGCGGATGCTAAACCGCCTGCCAAGCGTGGTAGCTGTGGCAAAATGCCCTATGAGGCAATCTATAGAAGAAACCTAGTAGAGTTTAATAACGTAATATTTTTATAAAGTACTTATTATATATAATTTATACTTATTATATTTATATTACGTTATTAAACGACTTTCTAAAAATGATAGAACTGCAAATAATATTACAAATTAAACAACAACATGGTTGTTATAAAAGGTGACTTAAGGTAAATTATAGATAAAAATATGCTTTACATTTATGTATATTGCATTATTTGAAGGCACGGATGGGCTAATATATACAATATATAACTAAACAATATATAATAAAGTGAAGTAATAATGTCCATAGTCTCAGAGGTATTTGCATGTTTGCCTACAGAAAGAGATTACTTATAGGCGCTAGATTGTACTTTATGTAATCTTTGTTGCTTTGCTTCACTTTTATTATATAGGTACCGTAGGTCCTACCTAACATGAAGGTAACTCCGTTTCCGTATAATTTAGTTAATCATTCATGCTCACTGCTTAGACCCATGACACCGAAATAATGCATTGTATAACGCAAAATTTTTTCTCATAATACGACAGAATAAATCAAGAAAAACCTTAATAAAGTATGTTCTTGAAAGAATTTATTGTTAGCAATGTAACATCACTATTTACGAACAACAAAATTTTATAAATACGCAAATAATGATAAGAAGTAATTAAATAATATGAATTAAATGTTTAGGGTAAATAATTACATCCATCTACTTACTGTCGCAAAAGATATAAACGTTTATCATTATATTTACAGCAAAAACTAAATCACTCACATATGAAATGATAGTTCGCGTAATTTTTGACTATATTTTGAGGCATAGCCTCTTAGTCATCTTCGTACTATATAATGAATTAGAAAATTCACTATAAACTGTTTAAAAATTCGCAAAATTTTCAAATTAAGAAATATCAAAGGATTTATTAAAACAGTAAATCTGAAACAATAAATAGCGGAATCGGCCGCAAGGCAGGGTTAAATGACGTCATCTTAAAAATGTTTACCAGAATACGAAACAATATCTATTATCTGTTTCATTTATGAATGACACTTAGACTTACATTTCCCTGAGTGAAAAAGAGATAGGCAGCATATTGACAGTTCAATGTCGAATATAACCATATTTGTATAACCAATAAAACATATAGACGCTCTGGGCAGCTCCTCTATTTTCTATGCTCAAAGAGCAAGACTGACAACTGAAACTGACAATAGTTTCTTTTTTTGAGTTTATGGCCTGGTATCTAGAGACCTTTAGGCTATGACAATAGTTTTTTTTTTGGAGTTTATGGCCTGGTATCTAGACCTTTAGGCCAAGTCTTAAGTATTTTTATTCGGTTTATTGTAATTTCCCCACTCCTTCATAGTATACTGCTTCACAATATGTTGATGCGTCACATTGTGCAGTTCTTGGGAGATTTTGGCGGCAACTTGATCCAGCAGACAGCTGATAGTTGGCGATGGTATCTAAAGGTGCCTATGCAAACAAACAGCTTATCTTGAGAATCCATCACCATCAGAGCACTTGTTTCACTATTTCCACTAATAGTTCACATGCGTAGACACTTAATACACAAAATCGCAACACTTTTACATATCAAAGTCCACTTCAAACCATTATTTAAACAATAATACAGGAGCAGCAAACCGCCGCCGGTCAATTTCCCGCCAAAACTCTGACAATAGTTTGTGGTGATAACAGTGTTACAAGCTCCAAAAATTATTTACCCCTAAAGGCAGAGTCAAAAATAGCTTGCTACATATTTATTTATCTATTGTCAAAAACCCCCAAAATCACATTATTTACCATAGACTTAGAATATTATGGCATATAGACACTGACCTCTATATATACAACTACGCTGGACTGGATATACCCAGGGGTGTCACTTCCACTATGGAAGGTATGGAGCACTCCATACCTCAAGTTTTTCAAGGTATGGAATTCCATAGCTGAAATTAGGAAATAAATCGCATATTACTACAAACCCCATATAAATAAATCGCAAGCCCTTAAACCTCAATACCCCACATCTTATAGTTCAATAAATAAGTTGAGTATATACACTGCAAACTCTTAAACCTTAATACCCCACGAGTAATGCGAACAAATTTGAAAATCGCGCCACCATTTTCCATACCTCAGATTTTTACAAAGTGACACGCCTGGATATACCTATTCCATACAACATGCTTCTGCCGATTTGAAGCGCTCTCATTGTCCGTACCGGGAACTAAAATTGACATAATATACCCAAGTCTGTTGTGTTATTTAAATCGTATCTCTGTATTTGAAATATATATTTGACATATCTTCAAATTTGAACTTCGGGCGGTTCATTGAGTCCAAGGCCAAAGCAGCCGACAAGGAAGCTGGGAGTGCTTGCAAAGGTGCGGCGATACTTCACGCCGGGACAGCTGCTTACTTTATATAAAGCGCAAGTCCGGTCGTGCATGGAGTATTGCTGCCATATATGGGCTGGTGCTGCAAAATGCCAACTAGCAGCTCTGGACTCAATGGAAAGGCGTGCTAAGAGGCTTGTTGGTGACCCGAATTTGGTTAAAACCAATCTCACTAGCCTCGAACACAGACGTGAAGTAGCCAGCCTTTCGGTTTTCTACAGGATGCATTTCGGAGAGTGTGCGCAGGAATTACATAATTCTCCCCTCTCCCTTCCACCATCGGACAACCAGACATTCGGCCAGTCTCCACCCTTTCGTTGTTGACTTACCACGCATTCGAACCAAATGGTTTACCACGTCGTTCATCATGCGTACAGCAAAGGAGTGGAATAAGTTGCCAGCATATGTCTTTCCATCCGATTACAGTGTGGGTGTCTTCAAGGCAAGAGTGAATAGGCTTTGTTAAGTCAGTGCGCTTCACCATCTTAGGCTACATCACCACTTACCATCAGGTGGGATCGTAGATAAGCGCTGGCTTATATGAAAAAAAAATTGAACATGTAAACTAAAAATTTAAGTATTTTATGTGGTTTGATTATGTTTGATTTTAGTTACATAATAAGAATTATTTTTAGTAATATTGAGAGATGCGTAATATATAAAACTCGTTACCAAAAGGAAAGTGGTATAACATTCCACAAGTAAGTTAATTTATATCTAATATTAAACAAATTAAAACTATTTGATAATATAGGTACTTAAAAATTTATTACTAATCTTAATATCGTAATTACTAACATGTTTGGCTTTATATTACTGAGTTTTGATAAACAATAAACTTCAGTAGGGGCGAGTTCCTTGCCCACAGAACACAATTACTCTCTACCAAGAGAGGAACGCCAACTTCATACTAAAAAACGGAAACACGTGTTTATGAGTGTACACTAAAAACGCTACGGTGGACGCCCATCTAAAACTTTATTAGCGGGAATTTCGAACCATTTAAAGAATATTCGAGTAATTTTGGCTCAAGCCTCACAAGCCTATGGGATAAATTCGTATTTGAGAGGTGGCATCAAAATTACTCGAATATACTTTGGATTAGTATGTGGGATAAAATAAAACTATAAATAAGTATAATTATATAATTATATTTTCTGGAAGACAGATTTTTTTATAAAATTTGCATTATTATTGATGTTTTTATTGCGTTTGTACATAATATTTCCACGCTTGTTACTGATATATTGTCAGAGAGCTATTCTTCACAGAAATATACATAACATACATAAACACTCACGCCTGTCACCCAGAGGGGTAGGCAGAGACTACGGACTTCCATTTGGCGCGATCCTGACACACCTCTCTCGCCTCCTTTACATCCATATATCTACGCATACACGCTCGTCGGTTAAGGGTACTGGCCCATTTTTAATGTATCGCCGATTTGGTCGATAAACCTTCGTCTAGGGCGTCCCTTCCCGACCCCGTTGCCGTTCACTTCTGCAACATAAACGCAACAACGCAACGC